CAAGACAAAACATAAAACACAATTTTTGTCGTGACAGTAGATTTATGGTATTCTGGGTTTCTTTTTCACTGGTACCAGCTTTTTTTGAAGTTCTGAAAGACAAAAATAACATTTTTTACCCCTTTTGGGGTGGCAGATTATTGTTTAAAACTTTTTTTTTTTTACTAAATATTTTTGCGGATTGCAGGCAAAACAGAGGAATTACCCCCAGACTTTATTGTGTTTTTTGTTTTATAGGCAGGCCAGGTTTTAATGGCTTTTACTTTTTAAGGGTTTAGGGGAAATTATCCCCTGTTCAGTTATTGAATGTATGAGGTGGTGCACCTCCGTTGTGGTTTTTATACAGCAGACCAAGTTTGTAATCGTGTTTTTGCTGTGCTAAGCTTTATGGTTTTTTACAGGTGATAGCGGAGAAGCATCATTACCATATGACCTTAAAGTGGGGTTTTTTTAGGTTTTTGTTTTTTTTTAATTATACCCACTATCCATTGTTACAGGGGCACTTGTTAACATCACATTTATTTCAATGTTTAATATTAACATTACATTTATTAAAAGTATTTTGCTATATTATGAATTATATTTTTGGGAGTTTTGATGAATTAAAAGGTCGGAGTGTCATGCATATAAGCAGATCCCTTTTGTACCTGTTTTTAGATTTTAGCACTGCGTACGTACGTACACACACACACTCACACGTTTTTTGTTGGTTTTTTACTTAGGGTTAACTTTTTTTCCCCCTAGGTTTGACGTTTGATGATGTTGTTGTTTTTGGACGGTTCTAATTGGAGCCGTTTGGGTTCAGGCGGTCTGTTTGCTGACCGGGTCTGTCCTTTATCTGCAGCTCCTTTGGGCTGCCACTTATGGGCAGGGTTTTTTTATTGTTTTATCAGTGAGGTAATTTGCATCGACAGAGATGCTTTCTGACTTGCTTTTGGATTCAAAGCCATCAGCAGCTCAGAGACTCTGTCTTAAAGGGACACAATCAACTTCCACCCGAGTTCTGATTCCTTTTCACTTTGAACTCCTGCTTTTAAAACACACGGCGATCTGAAAAAGAAACCCCAACCTAGGGTGGCTCCTTTTGGAGCCCTAATAAGATTTTAATTATGTAGCATGTTTGTTTGCATTTCTTTTACCTCTTCTCCAATCTACACTGCACATGTCCTGGCGGAAATGCACATTCCTTCCAGAGTTTAACTTTTATAACATTGTTTTAGCCATTTTAATTTTTCCATAAGGTGTAACTGTTTTTTTTGTGCCTACAGAGGTTTGATGTACCCCTATCAAAGTGACAGTTTGATTACACAGAGCCGTCTTAAGGCTTGGTGTTTTTAACATTGCTTCTCTGTGCACCTCACCCCTTGTGTTGCTCCAGAGGGGCACTGGTTTTTTACATTTTGTATTTTTTTATTACAGCGTGGGTGAGATAATGCTGGGTGCCCCCTCAGCGCCC